AAAAGGAATATATATACAGTATATCTCTCTCTCTCTGCGGTGGAAGACAATCAAGTGCATTAATGTATTCCGACGGGATACAATTAGTTCTCCAGCTACCAAGGCCCCTGATGTTTCGGTTTTCTTCAAGGGCATAAAAAGCAAAGACGTATAGAGCCGACTGCGAAAGCGGTAACAGTCATTGTTAATTTGACCTTTCCTTCCATTTTCTCATTCAAACACATACCTTCCATTCCATCCTTATCTGTTCACATCTTGTTTTTTTGCTGCCAGGTCCTCTAATGAGATATTTTTTGTTGTTGTTTGTCTTACAAACTGATGTCTTTATAACTTGAACATAATCAAAAGGACACAAGGAAGAAGTGACCCCTTGCAACACACACACACACACACACACACACACACACACACACACACACACACACACACACACACACACACACACACGTGCCGGGCAATCTCCATAAATTACGTCCGCCAAGCATGCGTCGGGGTGTAATAAGTGACACCTGGTAATGAGCACACCATGTGGGGGGTAGTGTGGGGTTGCCGAGGGTCAGGGTCAGAGTTCAAGGTGATCTCCTGTGGGGTTTTCTATTTTTTCTTTTCTTTTTTTGAAAGAAGATGGGGGAAGACACCCCTAAATTGAGGCAATGCGGTGACTCGGGGAGACACGGGAGTACCCTCAAAAGGGAATTGCCGTGTGTCGGAGCCAGCTGGGGTGAAGATATGATTATTGGGGAATATTCATGCTCATTTGTCCGGGACCAACGACCACCAGTATGACCGAGCAGATGGGCTTCTATTTTGGGAGTGGGTCCCATTCTTGCCTTAAAAAAAAAAAAGAAAAAAAAAAGAAAAAAGCTAAACTGGAATGTCTTTTTTTTTTTTTTATGCATTTGAATCTCTTCCAAAAAAAACAAAAAGTCTACATCAGCTCTAGCTCAGACTCGACAGTTACAAGGTCTCAAAAAAGTTCAAGTGGATAACTTGGAATCGCAGCCCTCCTCTTAGTCCGAAACATTCTCATTTGGATTTGCGCCAAATCAGCCAGAATATTTTGTATACCATAAGAAAGGATCATGAAGGCCCTTTATCTTGGAAATTCACATTTAACACCTTTTAAATGTGCCAAACTGCCAGATTACCTTGTATTCCAATGACCAATCAAGCACATGCAAACTTTTCGTAAAGCATTCCCTTGGTGCTTCTTCGTGTTTTTGCAGTCATCTACAAAAATAGTAGCCGCAATAACTCAAACATGCAGAGAAACAAAATCTCCTTCACAACCGAAACCTACCCAGATTGTTTTATTAATCGGCCTAAGTGTGCACGGATGTGCGCGCACTCTCAAAGAACGACGACGTACGTTCACTGACACAGCATCGCTAAGTCATATCAGAAATAGTACGTGGCCTCAAAAAAAAAGAGGAAGGATGGAGGGAAGAAGGAGGAAGGGAGACAAAGAGGAGGGGGGGGAGGAGCGGGGTAAAGGCCTCGGTTGTTAAGATGAACAGCGGCGGGGGGGGGGGGGGGGGGGGGGGGGGGGGGGAGGTTGGATGAGGAGCTGGGAGGAGAGAGTGACTAAGAGATAAAAGAAGAGCGAGGGGATGCGAGAGTGTTTATGTGGTGAGCGGATGGCCTCGGGGGGCCGTCGACTCACTGCGCTGCTCTGCGGATGTGCTGACGGGCCGCACGTTCCCTCGGTCGCTTGACTTGCGGGCCCCCCCCCCCCGCCGCAAAGAAGGAAAAAGGGGGGCAGGTGAGACGGGTGAGGATAGAAGCGAGGTTAGGTTGCACTGGGAACGGAAACATGCGTTTAAAAAAGAAAAAGTAGCGTACCATGGGGGAAAACATGAAGGCGGGGTGGGGTGGGGGTGGGGGGGACTAAATCAAGGCCTTCTTATGAAGTATGAGTAATTAAAGTGCGAGTAAGTTGGGAGTCTTCGGCGTCTCATCGTAAACTTGCGTTTCCTGCCTCCGCCGCCGTTGCACCTTGTCACACCGATGTCACTTTTGTGAGTTTGTAACCGTGCGCTCATGTGTGAGGTTGCATTATTGAAGAGTCGTCATAACACGAGACATAAGGGAGCTTTGAATTTTTTTTTTTCTTTTATCGGAGGGGGTGGGGTGGAAGTAGAAGGTGGGGGGGCGGGGGGGCGTCTTTATGCAACATCCCATAGACGACGGCAGATTGAGACTAGCGTTGCTGAATATGGAAAGAGGGCACACGGCAAAGGCTGCTGGGAGTTTCTGATTGGCTGCTAATGTTGCTATCCGGGCCGGGATTGGTGGAGCCGACGCGAGCCCCGACATCACGTTGTCGGGACTAAACCCCTTTGAACTAGAGGCAAAGCGGAGAGCCGCACATCTCGAAACGTGCATACATACGTGACAGCCGCCGCCAACAAAGTGCGCAAGGGTGGGCTCACCCCCCCCCCCCCGCTTTCAAAAATCACAAACTCCTGTCTTTCTATATATAAGTGATGAACTTCCTCCACGCCGCCATTCTCTTCCGAGTGCATCACTGTAAGGTGGACGGAATAAATTGGAGCTTAAGCACGCGTGAAGGCACAGCCAGCGGGCCACATCAAGCCACATTTGTCAAATCTGAGGCTTTTTTTTTTTTTTTGGGTGGTGGGGGGTAAAGGGGAAAGTTGGTGGGGTGAGTGAATGGATGTGGGGCCGCAACACCCGGGAAGTCAAAGAATATCGAAAAATGTGTGATTATTCTGGAAGGTGTTCTTAACTGCGCATGGACAACAAACGGCACTGGCCGTAAATAAAACATGAGAGGAAGACAGGGCTGTGAGTCAGGGGAAACGCATGACTACATCGGCGCGGCCCCCCCTTGGTGCGCCTTTGCCCACGGTGCCGACACACAACACGACCTACAGCTCCAGCATAACTCCGCTGCTTTCGGATGACCTTGACGACCCCTTCATTTCCCCGCCCTTTTTTCCCATCTTCAGTTGCGATGCGACGCAGAGCTGCTAAACCTCACACGGCCCGGCCACCGCCAATCTTTCCGTTTTCAAATTTTTTTTTTCCTCTTCCTTTTGATTTTACCACCACCCTTCTTTCCAAAAAAAAAAAAGGACTCCAAAAAGCAAAAATTAAAAGTCAAATGGCTGCACGGTGTACCGGCTGAAGTGACGCTTAATGACTTGTTACCATAATAACTCCATGTCCTTTTCTATGACAATAAAAGAATATTTTTACAGAAAAAAATGTTGCTCCGACTTTTACAGAAAAATGTTGCTCCGATGCTTTAAGGCATTCCACAGTTGACGCGCCGCTGTATTTAGGTCACCCTGAATATATAAGTGCAGTCATGACGGATGCAAAACATGACGGCGTGAACTAAAGTAATGTCAGTGAGTACCTGCGGTGTGTGTGTGTGTGTGTGTGTGTGTGTGTGCGTGTGCGTGTGTATGGTGGTGACAAGCAGGCCTATAAATCTTTGATTGGCCTCCTCCCAACTTGTTATACCCTCCATTCCCTTTTTGCCTTTCCATTCCATGTGAGTGAGCAGAGTAGCTCTTTGCCTATCCTCTTGCTCCCTCATCCTGAGTCCTCCTGGTGCATTAATGATCTTACATCACCTCGTCCATTGAGCAGGCCAAACAGGAGATTCAACGAGAGATGGAGAACAATTAGGAGTTTTTTTGACCAGAGTTCCCCCCGCCCCCCTCAAAAGTCAACCAAAATCTTGGGAGCATTAACGCCATTAGTTCTTTTTCTTTGGCTTTATTTGGAACTGCATTACGGAAGAGGAGCTATAACGGCAAAGAGGGCAAATGCAATGATAACATATGAACAGGAAATTGTACACGGGTGTGGCACAGGACAATTCAGTGGTGCGTCACTGGCTTGAGATTTTTTTTTTTTTTTTGCTTTAATTTATGAGCACAGATTTGAGATACGTGCTTTCCTGGTGGCGGTAAATTCAACACACTTTACAACAAGGAGGAGTATGGAAAAGAAGGAGCAATCATCAAACATTGTTTCATGCCAGTCCCAGTTTACTGTCAAACTAAACATAAAACAAAGAGAAGTGCACTTTGTAGATTTGAAACAGCAGAACAACGGTCTCGTTTAATGCTAACACGCTACATCATGCAGCCAGACAACATAGAAGTCCTGTCAGTCATCTCCTTTGTCCTTCACGTAGAATGACTAATATTAGTAGTGATGAGCATTCACATCACCACAATTTTTTTTTTGGGGGGGGGGGCTGGAAAAGATGAATGGCATTTCTGTTCATTGCCCACGAGCGTTCAACTTTTTCATGTTGTGAGCTGTTGCTTGATTGATTTTTAAAAAAGTTTTTTTTGCTTTGTGTTGCTGCCAAAATTTACTGTAAATTACGAGCAACCCTTGAGATACACAAGCTACTTTCAGCCATTTTTTGGATGGGACAGTCAAACCAAAATACAAAATGAAAATGCTGGTAAGACATTGAGTTTACCACGTCATAAAAGCAGTTTATTTCTTCATATTGTTTATTCTTATTATATTTTTAGATTTGACGAGAGCTATTTTTATTTATTAAAAACTTTTTTTTAAAAATTTGGTGGGTTTTGGGGGCTAGAATGGATGAATGTCAATTGTAGTTCATTTCAGTGGGGATGATTGAAGTTGGACGCAGAACAAATTGTCAGTCAGGCTACAAATAAATATGACGTTAAAGGTTACACGATTTGGGATTTTACAGCGCACACAGGAAACAGACTCCCAACGTGTGGCAGTATTTTTTTATTTTTTTGGGGGGGGGGGGGTCGTCACGCACCACACCGGCATGTCTCTCCATGGATGGCTGGATGTCAGACACATTAACACTGTCTGCCATTGACATACACCCACGAAACCCACCCCACTCCACAACGTACACGTCTGGGCAGCATCCTTCTGCTCCAATACACCCTTTCCTGTGTCCCCTTCGGGATGATTTTTTTTTTTTAAATGATGATTCTTTTTTTGCATGCGAGCGCAACTACCTTGTGTTGGATCGTGGTTCTCCCAGAAGAGTTTCAGCAGCTCCTCCACGCTTAAGTCTTTGGGAGAGAAGACCACCCTCACCACCTCGGTGTGTCCAGTCATACCTGCAGGACAGAAGATAAATGAATTTTGAGCTGCAACTGATGATTTTTATGATCAATTAATGTGTCGATGACGCGAACAAATGTTTAAAACGAAACAATTTGCAAATTCCATCCCAAGATTAAAAAAAACGGGACATTCATTCAAATTTGTTATATGAAACGAGGCCTCTCAGCGATAAAATCGATGATCAAAATAATTGTCCATTAAATTGATAATCGATTACCAGTAGCTGCTGATTAGATGTTGCAACTCTAAATGTGTGCGTGTGTAACCCGCTGAACCGAACTTCGCAAAATGTACAATATACCGCATCGCAGGTCGCAGCCTTGACACTGCAAACCTTTGACTTTGTCCCAACCGAGCGTCTCTCTTCAACATGGTCTCCATCCCGTTGTTTTGATCGGCCGCGTGCGATCGCTGCATTCGCACCTGTCCAAACAAACTCTACCGAGTGGCTAAATGAAGCGTTCAATACGAGCCAACTGTACAAGGCAGGTGCGAAAAACGCCTCGAGGGAGACACGCGTCGGGATGGATGCCGCTGTGACTTTGACAAAGTATCCCGTCCTCTCAACCCCCTGCAGTCAAAAAAAGTTGTTTTTTTTTTCCTTCAAACTATCGAACAGTAGGCTTTATGTGCTCCGTTCTTTTTGTTGCAACTCTGTAGGAGCTGTGAGCGCAGACGTGTTCCCAATCTTAATTCATACGTGTTCATATTCTTAACGCACATTCTCAACTGTACTACGGCCAGTTTTGTGCGTGTTACTTCCAAAATGTGATACAACCGGTATGACGGGATAAAAACATTTGAATGGGGATAATAATGCGGGAAAACAGAAATGAATCTTGAGGCCACCAAACCGCTGGACAATTCGTCCGACTTCCAATTGGGGCTTATTTGGTCGATTTCCTGAGTAGAAACAAAATGGGCACTTCTTCAATTTCTGGCATGGGTCCTTTGAGTGAATTTTGGGGGGGGGGGTCTTTTTTTAGCCCCCCTAAAATACATGAACACCGTGATACATGTCCTTGGTGATATTTTTGGGAACGTTGAGGCCCCCTAAAAGGTGATTCATTTATTCATTGGACGATGACCCGTAGGGCCGCTTCAAACCAAAAATGTCCACCTTCCTGTTCAACTTGGAGCATGGGGCCCTTTAGGTGTGTCTTCTTTTGATAGGAAAACTGAAACAGACTGAAGGGAAAGAAAAACTGTTCTCAATTACCCTACCCGGTAAAACAAAGGCGATTAATCGATGATTGGATTCATTTTAGACACACCCGCCCAATTGGGTGCTCATCGGTGAAATTGGGGACACGGGTGAATTTTTCCAAACTGTACACACGTTTTCACCAGGCTACACTCAGTTGCAAAATTGGTGAATTTTTGGTCTTGCTGATGACCTCAAAGATTTCAAGAGGGCCTTTGTGCCGCCTGGTCTTCAGGCCCCTGATAACTCTCGCATTCCATGACTACGACTTAAACCTCTTTTGTCACATGACCACTTTTCAGCCTGCCCTTTAATCCTCACGTTGCGTTCCTCGCGCCTCCCATCAGTCCCGTCCGCCTCTTTGACCGCTCCGACCCCGTTGTGTTGACAGCTCTTCAACTGCGATGCCGTGGCCGACGTTCTGCTCCGTCACGGCCACTGGAGCGACGCCTGCACCTTCTCTTTCAGCCTTTCTTTCCTTCGGATGTACTTTCCCGTCAGAAAGTTTATTCCCCCCCCCCCCCTTTCTCAAGCTTTAGCTGTCATCCAGCTCCATCCTATAGCTGACGCACAATCCCTTGAAGGGCTTTCGCTCAGAATGTGTGCCAGCCAAAGCCCAAAGCGTTTTCTTCTTGGTCCTCACCGTGTCCGATCCTGCTTCGCCCGCCACTGGAGCGCCACGCTCGCTCTCTACGCGCCTTTTGGAAAGCACGAGGAGTCCATAATTAAAGCGCAGCAAACAGAGCCAGACATCTTCATTTGAATTATATATCAATGCCCTACATGGATCTATTAGAATCTTGATGAGGAAAGACACGCGCAAAAACACACATACACCCACTCGACACAGGTAACCGGGATGTTTGAGGGCTTTGAGATTGAAGCTCATGCCAAATCGCAGAGCCCACTGACGGCGCTTCACATGCGGGTAACCTCTGCCGAGAAACGCCGCAATACGGCACATAACGCAGCTCAATCCGTACAAGTAGGTCATGGGTGGGTGGGGACGGTAGAAGGAGGAGATGGGTGGGTGGGGGGTATTGGTATATGCAGCCCATCTGGAGCAGTGCATTCGGAGTTTGCCTGCAGATGAAGGGAAAGCGGGGAGACGACGCCAGAGCTGTAATGAGTGCGACCGTGGTACTTTTTTTTGGGTGCGTCGTGTCGAACCGCGGATAGAAAGCGGCGCCATGTCTCGGAAGCAAAAGGTCATGGGTGGAGTTCAATACCTGTGCAGACCTCTTCGTAGGTGGGGTTGGGTGTAAAGCCGCCGGCAAATCCCACCTGGGTGGAGAAGACCCCGGAAACTTTCCAGAAAAACTTCTCGGCGCCCCAGAAACAACCCATACCTGCGTAGAAACATTCATTATTGCTGTGACGCTATTCAATCTTGGGGCGATTAGCGAATGTATAAAACTGTGATTGAAGCATTTACCAAACATGATGGTTCCCATGCCTTCGGGAAAAGGCTCCACGGTGGTGTTCTGGTTGACCGCATGCTTGACTGCGTTGGAAAACAAGTGTGAAAAGATGAGGGTGAGCAATTACAAGTGACGGTATGCATCCAAAGAGGCATATTAAAGGTGCTTTCGCACCAAAAATAAAAGTTCCTTCAAAGGGGGTTACAAATGGTGGGGCACTCGCGTGACCCGACTTGACTCCGGTCGCCAGTTTTGACGGATTTGGGACTTGCTTGGTGACACTTGCGAAAGACTGGACTTGACTTTGACTTGGTATTCAGGAGACGCGACGTCAACTGCGTGACTTCAAAATTCTCGGTAGGTAGTGTTCCATTCATTTTCTCTTTGAAAGAAGCTTATTTTTGTGTAGCGCGAGGGAAACTGATGGCACAACAGTAGGTTAGGATTCGGTTTGCAGAGTCTCATGAAGGTGGAACTAAAGATTATCCATCCGTCCATCCGTTTTCAACACTGCTTATCCTGAACAGGGTCGCGCGGAGTTGCTGGAGCCCATCCCAGCTGACATTGAGTGGAAGGCAGACTCTACCCTGAACTGGTCGGCAGCCAGTCGCAGGGCACATATAGAGACAAACGACCATTCACACCCATGTTTTTGAGGAAAAACAAAATGTTGGAAAAAAATGACTACATGCAGGGTTTGGAACACAAAGATAAACAACACAACCAAACACTCTGACCCTCGTCCATCAATACGAAAAACATTGGCAAGTCAGCTAGGTTTACCTCACAATTTAGCTAGTGAAAGATTAGCTTAGCCTCATGTCGGGTATGTGTTTCATTAAGGCAAAATAAAAACAGAATGGTTTTGCAGCTCAAGTTTTCACAACAATTTGTTTGTAAATCTATCAAGTAGCAAGGAAATCAGGGACGTGGGGGGGTAGAATGCCGAGAAGGGTGGCAAAGTGTTGGCACTTGAACTTCTCCCGATGCTACATGGCATTAGCGCGCTAAAAAGTAAGTCAGTGTGTGCAAAGTAGGAGTTCGTGTGACGTCGGCGCAGCCCACAGATGTGCGAGGGGGGGATTAGACTTTGCTAAGAGGACTGAGGTGACTTAGCGTGCAAATCTCCGCTAAGCAAGGCTGGTTGGTAAAGCAACCACTAATGTTAGTCCACAGATAAACAGGCCAATGGGTACACCAAGAGCTTAGGCGCACACCAAAAATGGACGCTTGCGCCCAGGTCAACGCCAGATCACTCTTCGAGCTGCTTAGAGAGACGTGATGTGGGACAATGACCCGAACACAAAGTTGCATCGGGAAGATAAAAGACTTCATTTCCTGGACGTTTTTATCCTGAAACAGCAAGCCAAAGACCTGCGCTTACTTACCTGCACTACATTTACTCCAAGCATAACAATTCTATTTTTTTTTTTGAGGTCCAGTCTGGTGGAAGGCAAAGATGACTTAAAAAAGCGGACACACTGACTGTCTTGTTTCGCAAAAGCACTTTCTTTCTCAAAGGGTATTGCATCATATTAGAGCCTGAAGCCTTCAAGTTTTTCTTTTACCCATACATCCTGCAAAAAAAAAAAAAAAAAAAGCCGCATCAGAGACGGGGTTTTTTTCAGGATCAAATCTGTTGGCAATCAGATAAAATCTCAAGGGGCAAGCAAGCATGGCCGTGTTCAATCAAAATGGCACACGTGTGTCTTTTTAGGCGTGGGTCTTTTGAGACTTTGTTGTGGGTCGACACTTGATGGATATGCTAACCAGTCATGATGCTAAGTGAAAGCCCCCATGCTTGGGGTTGGGCCTTGTTCTTTCTCTGGCTCGCAACAAATTAGACACTTTTTTTTCCTTCTTCTCCCTGTCTGATTTATCTTCACCGGCTTGCTAACTTTTGTCTTGTGCGGTTCTTTGTCTAAAACTATCAACCAGAGCCTCTCGATGCATTGCCCTCCGAAAGAATGTAGGAGCATAATAGTTTGCGAGTTGCCCCCCCACTCCCACACCATGCTCCCTTTTGTTCTCCCTTTTTCTCATCTAAGGAATCTGCACGCCGCCCGTCTGGGCGACCCGTCAGTCCTACCGCACTTTGGCTCAGTTGACACCACTTCCTAATCACACACTATCGACGCTGTGTGTCGAATTTAAAGTGTCTAGTGCAAAGCCCAAGACTTGTAAACGACAGCGAGCATCTTGCAGAAGCATAACAAACTCCTAAAGCGTCACCTGTGGCCCTCAGGCAGCCCTCTTCTCTCTTTCCAGCAGCATTGCTAGGCTACATGAAAGTGCTCTGTCAGCTGCAACCAACATGTGACGACTGCTTTTGCTCAACCTCCTCATTCATGAAGACTAAAATTCACCCCGTAAGCGGGAGACAACAGAAGAAATTCTACCCATACTCCGACGTATTTTGGCCAAATTCAACAAAAACAAACTGTGCTAAATATGTCAACTCAGTGAGCCAAACATGATAAACATGGTGGCAAAATTGTAATCAAACACACAACCATTGGCCTTACACTTTTCATTCTTGGTGAAGGTATCAAGCAAAGAAATACACATTGACTCAAACAAGAGGCGAAGTGATGACATCGCGAGAAAAATGCAACTGAACGATGCCGTTTGCAAGCCGGCCCGGTTTCTCGCTTCTCCCAGCTGCTCATCATCTTCACTTAGCACAGCTTTCCCATCATGCCTTACGCTCTTGCACCAGACACAAGCATACGTGCCGATTGTTGTCACAACAGCCTTTGCTGTGAGTGGAGTCCAGGCGGCAATGCGTGGAAGGAACACTATCCATGGATGCCAAAACCTGCGACGGCAAGGTCGATTTCCAGGCTGCTCATTTTGTTGCCCGCCCCCCCACCATCAAAACCCCAAATCCATTCCCTCTTTGCCTCCCTCTCACTACTTGTCTTCCCAGCTTCACACAGGTTGGCAGCAAAAGCTAGGCACGAGTCGTCGGAGGAGGCTGAAGCTTTATACTGGTGCCAACTACCCTCTGCTGTATGGGAGGGATGGGAAGGGGGTGAGGAGGAGTAGGGGTATCAGGGGAGGGGAAGCAAGGCTGGTGGGGAGGTGTTCCAAGACTGCTAACAGCCAAACGAACAAAACAATGTGGCTGTGCTTATGGCTGTTGTGGCTCATTCGTTAAATTCCATGCCTTGGAAGTTTTCTTGACTGAGAGAAAACCCGTCTGCTCTGGTAGCAGGTTGTATGTGGGCAATGGGAGGGGGGGGGGGGCATGGCTCAATGGTTGTCCCCCAGCCCCGAGGTTGGGAGTTCGATCCACGGCCACTGTGACCATGTTGAAGTGTCCTTGAGCAAGCTATTGAACCCCTGGTTGCTCCTGATGCTGCGTCATCAGTGTTACGGTCGTGGCGGTGGAGGACCCCAAAAAGCAGGCAGGAGGGAGGAGCAGGCTGGGCTTGACAAAATGTATGAATCAAACACTGAGAAACACTTCCGGGTCACTTCCGGGTTGAGTGAACGCTGGCGCGTCTGGCTGCCGCTGCTCACCGGCTATGATTCTTTTTTAGCGTTTGTTTTACGGTTTTTTTTAC